GCACGGGGTATTCCAGGTGTGATCTGAGCAGTGTAAAATAGGAATTATTGTTTCTTCCTTCATTTTGTACGTGAACTTCCAGCAATGTAGCTTAGGACCTGATTAAGTTTTTGGCAGGCATAGCTGCATGTTGACTCATGCTGAACTTACCCTCAACTAAAACCGTCAGGCAGATTTTTCATATATTTGGTATTAAGTCAAACCTTCCACATCCTGTGTTTGTACAGTTCATTTTTGGACCTAAACACAAGACTTTACATTCACTTCTATTATGTTTAATTCAGCCCATTGTTCCAGATGATTCTGTCATCAGATGTATTCTCAACCCCTGCGGTTTCTTGGCATTCTCAGTCTGCTCAACGAGTCATCATCGCTGATGCCAGGGCTCAGCAGGCCGGGGTTAAAAATAAAGTTTCGAGGAAAACTTTATTCTTATATGCTGATGTTGATAGAATCATTCATCTGCAATCTTTGGGTACAATTCTCTAATAGCTAATAATAATCTTTCTAGTGCTGTGTCATCTGCTATCTATTTCTCTGCATATTCACAGGGGAACACCAAACTTTGTACGTCTGACATCTGAGAGAGTGCCCTTCCTCTTTCAGAAGCCTGGGGATGAGAACAAGGCCTCTCAAACTCTGCACTATTGATATTTTAGGTTGAATAATTCATTGTTGGAAGAGAGGGCTGGGCTGTACTTTGTAGGATGTTTAGCCATATTTCTGGCCTCTATGCAGCACAAGGTCATGCCTCCTCCCTCACCAACTGCAGTTATGACAATAAAAAATGTCTCTAGACAGAGCCAAACGTCCTTTGGGGTGCAAAATTGCTCCTTCCCATTAAGAATCCTGTTCTAGGCTCTGCATCTCTTCAGTCTAATCTAGTACCTCAACCCACCTTTTTTGACCTTTTCATAGGTATAGCTATGAATAAGCTGTTTATACACATTAATAGCATCAAAATAGTTTTATGTCAGAAATTAGATATGTAGGTAGATTAAAACAAGATATAAAAAAACCATCAAAAATAATACTACAAATGGGGAGGGATAATATAATCCTAAAATTTAGAGCTAAGGCTACATTAATCCTTAGGGTAAAACAATTATAAGAAAATTGAACCTTCAATAGGAATTGTATGATTTAAAAGGTAATATATATTCATATTGGTACCTGGATGCTCCTCCAAGTATTATCTGATACAGTGAAAAATGGAAACAGACTAAATTTTTGACAATGTAAGATAAATAATTTATTGTATATTGATCACACATAATATTAGGCAGTGATCAAAATGACATTTTTTAAAACATTAATGATATGGGTAAATGTCCACAATCCAATGCTGTGAAGAGAAAGCAAGATCTTATTTATATATGTAGTGTGGATATCAAATTTTCAAAGAAAATACAGTTGTCTCTTGGTATTGGTGGAGGATTGGTTCTAGGAGACCCATAGATAAACAAATCCACAGATGCTCAAATCTCTGATGTAACTGGGGTAGTATTTCCATATAAACCTATTCACATCTTCCTGTATGCTTTAAACTATTCTTAGGTTACTTATAATTCCTAATATAATGCCTACACATCACTTCATTCATATGGATTTAATGTATCACTTGGCGCTTAGCAACTTCAAATTTTTCTTTTTGGAATTTTGTGAAATTTTTTTTTCTGAATATTTTCAACCTGAGCTTGGCTGAATTCACGGACATAGAAGCTACTGATACAGAGGGCTGACTACATATGCATAGAAGAAAGATCATGAAAATATTACTAGTGGTTAGGGGATTATGGTAGAATATAGTTTTAATAGCCTTCTTTATAGTTTTTATATTCCCCAAATTTTCTTAATGAACTCATGCTGCTTTATAAGTGCTGTGTGCACAGCAGCACTGGGGGCAAGTGATCTAAATTCTTAGGTGAGTGGGCACTGGCTAGCATGCCACATTTGTTTACAAAAGGGTTGCTCTGGAGAGGGCACATGAGGAAAGGAGACAATATTTGTACATTGGGTCACTCAGTCCTCTTGGGCAAAAAACAAAAAACAAAAAACAATGACTATGTAATAGTCATTTTATTTTTCATAAAATAAGAATAGTTTAATGTTCTAGCCAAATCCTGTCTCTCTAAGTCAGTGGTTCTCAGACTGGATAATGCTGAAGAATCACCGTGTGGCCTTTGCTAGCAAACACAGCTTCCAGGGCTCCGACTTTGAAGATTCTGATTGCACAAGTTTGCTATGGGGCTAGGAAATCTTCCTTTTTAACAAGGTCCTCTGATGATTTACTCTGATGCTGGTGGTCCATGGACCACATTTTGAGAAGCACTGCTGTAAGAAGCGATGTGGTTTGATTTGGATATTTTTTTCCTGCCTCTATGTTTGATAATTGCTTCCTGACTGTGCACGAAAGATAGTTGTCATAGACTTGTAGTGGTGTTCTGGTAAACTGACTCTTTGAAAAGAATATAAAATCTAAGTTGTTGCATTTGCCAATATCTATGTTGTAAATACTCCCACCACAGCCAATTTCAAGCTACCAATGTATTAACCACCAGCTCACAAAATTCTTGTAAGTTTAATAATTGATTCCTAAAAGTTGGTTGGGCTGGCTTAGCCTTGTATAAAATATATATACAAACATATACACACACATATGTATATGTGTATATATATATATGAAATTTAAGTGCTTTAAATATTTTGAAAAAGGGATATGCTAAAAAATATATGAAAAACTATCACTATGCATACAATAGCTAGGGTGAAACAAGCAAGCAACAAGATGCCTTGGAATCCTATTGAATGTGCCCTTGGAAACACATTTTGAATGTGTTAGGAAAAAAGGACAATAATCGCTTTGATCACCACTCCTTATTCCTTTTATTTTTTCCATTGCCGTTCCATGAAGAATGATACACTTGCTGAGTTCTTTAAGGGTGTGAATTGGTTTCCTGCAGATGATGGAGAGCCAAGGAATGGGACTTGAGGGCTGGAGCAATGCCAGATGTTCAGCCTCCACCACCCATGGCCCTCAGCCCCTGAGCTGCTGACATGCCCTTGGTCATTAATTCTGTAGCACCCAACCATAAAATCAACTCCCCAGCCTCTTCCCTCAGCACATGATTGAGACAGTGTTGTCTCTAGGAAGCCCATATCAGATGTGCTTTATGTGTTCGTGTGAGGGAAGTGGCCTAAATGGGGGCTAATAGTACAGTTCTTTCACTGTTTTGACCAGACATATTTTAAGAAAACTGGACCTGAAGCCTATATAGGCAGCTGAGGTGAATTTACAGCCCTGCTTTTAAGAACTAAACTCCCTCAGGCACCTGCTTCCTAAGGCAAAACCAGAAAGGAAATGAACTCTTGCTTAAAGACAACCCACCTTATTTTATGGGTTATCAATTTTCTAGCTGGCATACAGTTCCCCAGCTACTAAGATTTTTTTTCCCCATCCCAAGCAAGCACAGAGCTACAAAAAATGTCAAGTCTGCATTCTAGCAAACAGCTTAGTTTCCTGAAGATGAGGCACGTTGAACTTCAGTGAGAGAAGTCAAGGGAGCAGCGAAGATCTATGATGGCTCACCACACAGACGTCTTTGCCAGTATATGCATTAAAATCTCAGCCTGAATTACATTTCACATTGGAGGATTACTGCATCTTGGGTTATGCTAGAGAATATCTTTCTTGTCTGTGGGCTAGCTTTGTCAGGTGGATAGTCAACAACAATGTAAAACACTTGATTTCCTTTTAACTGCTCCAATGACCTTGGAACTGAGCTTATCAACCTCTCAAAAATGAGAAAGGACTAAATAGCATTTTCCCCTCACTATTGGTAAAGTCGGCCTTCTCAACGAAATGGACTACAAGATAGGGGTCAAAGGTTAACAGTAGATACTCTTAGACTGCTGTGTGCTAGCAAACACAATGGATAGGTATGATTTCTTAGTATGCGTAATAGAACAACAAAATAACTAGAAGAACGGACTGTATAGAAACTGTAAGAACTAACATAACCAATCAGCAAGTGAGAGGTTGTATAAATCCTACCACATATATGATGACGTCGGAATCAAATACTTAAAATTATATGCTAGTTTTGTCATAACCTCTGTCTTTTCTCCAAACTCCGTTTAGATGTGACGGCAAAGAATTTTCAGGAGAAATATGAATATTCAATTATATGTTCGAAAATCAGACATTTGCACATCCACTTGGGACAAGTGCCAGAGTTAACATCGAAGACGTGTGAAGGACCTCTTGTCCAAATGGAACATTAAGCTCCTCAAACAGGAGAACTCAGCTCTCGCAAACTGTCATTATTTCAACAAATGAAGGAAGCCCTTTAGCAGATGGACAACAGACTTTTCAGCTTGCTGATTAGCCTAATAAAAGACAGTGGCTTTTCTAAAAACGCGGGACATGTACTTCTCAAATTACGGTACCTAAATGGATTTAGCAGAATAAAATTAAGAAGGCATACAACAGCTTCATAAAAATTAGCAACAGACTATGGGAAGTTGATAGTTCTAAACACCAATATCAAGTTGACTTTTCTATTTAAAAAACCTTATCATTTAAACCATAGAGAAAATATTCATTGGTATATTCAAAACTGGGGGGTAGTGTATTACAGGATTATAAGTACTAATATAATAGAAGCATGCAGTCAATTTCTCCTCTAAAGGTAATGAAAATTCCCCAGGAAGGGAGATACCTCTTGTAACAGGCATCTGTTACAGGCTTTTCTTTTGTATCAGTTGACCTCTAGATGGTTTTTTTTTTTTTTTTGAGACAGAGTCTTACTCTGTGCCCTGGGTAGCATGCCATGATGTCACAGCTCACAGCAACCTCCAACTCTTGGGCTCAATTTATCCTCTTGCCTCAGTCTCCCCATAGTTGGGCCTGGTGACCTCTTCAGTTGAGTATTGGAATATCCAAATTAAACACAGACCACAGACTCAGACAGGACAAGGGCCTGGGCACTTCTGCCTACCTCTCACGCTCTTCTTTCATTTTCTCCAGCTCCTCTTCCCTCAGGCCACCACGCTTCGGTGTCACTTTCTGCTCACTCTTCTCACCCTTATCCTCTTTCTTCTTCCCGAACCTGGAGGAACAACAAGGAGCAAGTGATTGTTAATAATCATGTTGTTTTTGTGGTAAAGGTTAAGATGTTCCTGGGATGAACTCATTAAGCCGTAATTCTTTATGCATAGCTAGTATAATGTCATTTTTGCATAAAATGGAAGTAAAATAAGATAACAGAAGCAGAAACATAATACAGTTACTGAATTTTCCTTTTTCTCTCTTCTTTCTTTCCTTTCTTCTTTTTACTCATATTAATTATGCATCAAGGGCAGTATCAGGTGCTTTTGTGGAATT